ATATTGACCCCTAAAGGGCGCTGTGCCCCTCATGGTTCAGCGAGGGCTGGGTTCCAGAGTCCAGCCCGCGGTGCCCAGAGCCTGCCTCTCTGAGGCTGTGTGAGCTAGCATGGCATCTGGCAGAGGGGAGCACGCGTGGAGGGCGAGGGTCACGAGGAGACTCACCCTGTGGATGGTTGAGCAAGGTGGGCTGCAAAGGCCTGGCCATTTCCTTCTGACTTGGGACAACCCCGTGGGGCTGCGGGTGGTCCAGGCTCCTCGGCTCCTCGCTGAGCTGGGAGAGGCTTCTTCCAGCTCTCCGCGCCATCGCGCCCTCCCTGCTTCTTTCATGGATATTGACCCCTAAGGGGCGCTGTGCCCCTCATGGTTCAGCGAGGGCTGGGTTCCAGAGTCCAGCCCGCGGTGCCCAGAGCCTGCCTCTCTGAGGCCGTGTGAGCTAGCATGGCATCTGGCAGAGGGGAGCACGCGTGGAGGGCGAGGGTCACGAGGAGACTCACCCTGTGGATGGTGGAGGGGAGGCGCACGGCCCTCAGCCCTACCTAAATCACCCAGCAGGCAGGAGCCGGCAGGGTGGGTTTCCTGAGACAGCAGCCCAGACGTAGGAGGGGCCCCAGATTCCTCACGGACCAGAGCCGGCCCGGGAGACGCCTGGTGAGGAAGGTGGCCAAGCCTGGGAGTAGAGAAACGCTGTGCTCACCTCCCGTTAAGGACACGCCCGGACTACAGCTACATACGGAGCAGCTCGCTGAGACAACCTGAGGACCGTCAGGAGAGATCTTTCACAACTACAGACATGAGAAAAGATACTAGGAGAGACGGGCAGGAGGGGTGGAGACCCAGTATAGTCAGGGCTCATAATCTCAGATCAGTGACATGCAAACAGCAAAGACTATCAAACAGCATTCGTGTCCATTGATAGGTGAATGGATAAATAGGTTGTGGTATATCTATAGGATGGAATATGACTCAACCATTCAAAGGAATCTTGTAATTTGGGACAACATGAAATCAGTCACGCCTAGAAAGACCCTACATAATCCACTTACATGTGGAATTTATAAAACAAAACAAGGTGAAAACAGACTCAAAGATACAGATAACAAGCCAGCGGTTGCCAGAGGGGAGGGGAGCTTGTGGGGAGAAACAGGTGAAACGGATTAAGAGGTAGAACCCTCTAGTTATAAAATAAATACTCCACAGGAGTACAGTATGCAGCATGGGGAAGATAGTCAGTAACACCGTCATGGCTTTACACGGGGGCAGAAGGCGACTAGACTTATAGTCGTGATCATTTCCTAATGTATGCACACGTCAAATCACCACACAGCAAACCTGAAACTCACATGATGCTGTGCGTCAGCTATATTGCAGTTAAACAACAGAAGCCTGGTGCGTTTGCATGAACTTATTCATCGTCAGGAACACATTCCATGTTGTCCTTTAGCAAGGGATGACTAGGCTACTTTTAATGACAAGCAGTCCCTCCCGGGAGACAAGGGTGCTGCCATGAACTTGGGCGCAGAGCGTCTCTGTGCCGCGGGCTCTCAGCTTTCCCAGGACATGATGGGGAGCCACGCCAGAGGCTGGGCCCTCAGCATGTGAGTAGGTGAGTGGCGGCTCATCGTTATCCTGCTCTGCGCAGAGTTGGGGGAGGGTGGTCTGCACTTTTCATCTGAGGGTCACAACTCCGGAACTTCGGCTTCAGCCAAGGGTCTGTCCAAGCGATGGGCTTGGGGCTGCTTCTGGAGTTGATCCTTGGCATCTCCTTGAGAAATGTTCAGTCAAGTGTGAACCAAAACAGAGAATTCAGAAGGGAGCCTGCTGCCGGGAACCCCGTGATGGCTCCACAGCCAAACCCATTGATTTGCGGATGACACGGCCCTCCGGAGTTTCTGTGACTTCTGGGTTTCCGTTCCGGGGTCCAGTGCCAGTTGGGCCAGCCTCCACCCCCTGCCCCTCCTTGCCCCCTCCTCCTCCAGCATCGCTTGTTTGCCTTCCAGCCCCCACCTCTTTTCTCTGCATCTTTTTCTTCCAGCCTCTTCTGGACGCATGTCGTTCTCGCATCGGAGGAAACTGTCCAATTCTGCTTCCCAAAACACTGGGAAATGGTTCCAAACACCATGGCTCCAAACTGTAGCCTGGCAGAGCACCCGGGCCTGAATTTGTTTCCGGAAACCCTCCAGAGTGGGTGGGGCTCCACTCAGCCCTGCCCCGCCCCTCCCCATCCCACCCCCAGTGGGGATGCTCTTCCTTCTGCCAGCCCAGTCTTGGGACTCCCTGGAGGATGGGCCAGAGCATCTTGGCTCCAGGCCTGCAGGCTCACTGTAACCTTTTAAAGGCTCTTGCAGTGACCAACAGTCATCTGAAAACAAAAATCCTCTCTGATTGGCTTTTCACGATTTCCCTGAATGGCCCCCAATTCCTAAAGCACAAGTCAGCAGGATGACAGTGTAACTTTGCAACCGTTTTGATCATTATCATCAACTTTGCTGCTTCAGGTTTGGCTGCGGACACATGGTAATCATTTATTACCCTGCCTTTTACATCTTCTTAAACTTAGCACGGGCTTCCTCCCTCCCTCTTTCCCATTCAAGTCGACAGCCACGCCACGCTGAGATCTGGAAGGGAAGGGCACCCCTTGGACTACACAAATAGGTTCAGTGGTAGTGTTTCTACACATCAGACAAGGAGCTGGCAAGAATGCAATTGTACTTCACGTGTGGGAAATCCTTCACCAGGTGGAAGGAGTGTCTGTCCTCTGTGGATGCATGAAACCCAGTTCCCTCCAGGTGTCTGGAGCTCCTCAAGAAGCCTTGGCACATGGGTAGAATCTTCCAGAGAAACCAGGAATCCTGCACATTCTGCCAGAGACTCCCTCCTCCCCACTGCCTTCTCCTCCGGCCTCACCCTCCTGGAGTCTGGGGACGTCTGCCCCTTCTCCAGGGCCTTTGCTCAGCCTCCTCCGGCCCGCCCTGCTGACCTGGGCTGATTTTGAGTCAGTCCTGCCAATGGGATCAACCCTGGGGACCCCACACACTGTCCTGTCTGATGGGAAGAGGAACAGGATTGGAGGTGAGAGGTAATGGACCACCCCCATCCCCACCAACCAGCCTGCCCCAGCCAGGGGGATGGCTTGTAATGAGGTGGAGGGCGGGGCAACCAGCGACCTCTGGGGAGGTCCAAGGGCAGAAGGTGGCCAAGGTCTCACCAGGGCCACGTGGAAGGGGTTGAGGACCGTGCATCCCACAGGCTATGGGCTACAGAGCAAGGCTCAGGGGCTCCTCTCCAGGGTAAGACGCTGGAGGTGATGGGAGGAATGAAGCCAGTATCTGGAAACTGGGAGCCTTGCTGGGGCTGATGGTTAAACTTTGTGCGTCCACTCGGCCAGGCTACGGTGCCCAGTTATCGGGTCAAATGATAGGCTAGGTGTTACTGTGAAGGTGTGTTATAGATGAGTGATTGATTTAAGTAAAGAAGATTATTCTTAAAAAATGTAGATGGACCTCACCCAATCCTTTGGGAGACTTAAGAGCAAAACCCTGAAGTTTCCCAGAGAAGAAAGAATTTTGCCTCATGAGGATGACATGGAAATTTGGCTTGAGTGACTAGATGACCTACCAGTCTGGCCCATGGACATTAGACTTGCCTCATCATGCCAGGCCTCATCAAGGCATGAGCCAATTTTTGGAAGCAAAACCTCTCTCTTTTACACACAACACACAACACACAACACACACACACACACATTTTCTATGGGTTCTGTTTCTCTGGAGAAGCCTGGCTGATGCATCAGGGTTGGGCAAAGGAACCAAGGTGGTCGCAGCCACACTTGGACCGAATGTGCTGGCCAGCGGCTCAGGAGCCTGCCCCTTTTGCTCACTGCCCAGCTCCCTTCTGAAGTGATGCTGCCTCCCAATTGAGAGACTCAAACTCTCCCCTTGAAGTCTGTCAACCAGGCCCCAAACAGGCAGGCCCGCCTAAGAGAACAGAGCAATTATTTCTGTAGGATGTGGAATGTCTTTGAAGGCCAGACTCTCTTACGTGACCCTTGAATATTCTCCACAAGGATAACATTAATAGTGGGAAATTCTAGGAGAAGAATCTTTAACAGAAGATGCTGGCACAGTGACAAGACAGGGATCCTGCTTTTGAAGAGCTCGGTCCTCTTAACCAAGTCTGTCACGTGGCCCTTGCGCTGAAGAGGAAGGGGCTTATGTTGCCATGTGGAAGAAATTCAGAGCATTGAGCTTACCGGCTCCATCTCCATCTTCAGAGAGATACCCGGCTCTTTGCTCTGACAGGCATAGAGGAGGAATTTTGATGCTAGCCATACCACAGTGAGGATACACATGGTAATTGTGGTGTGTAATTACCACGGCAGTCCCGAGAGAGCCACAGAGAATCCCGAAAGATCTCAGAAGGATGCCATTCTGACTCTAGCAGAGTGAGGGGGGTGCTTGTCTATAAATTGTACACAGTCTTGAGATGATTTCCCAGTGAGGGTGCAATCAGGAGTGTGGGTATGTGGCTTGTGTAGCATGCTGGCTGTAAAGTTTTTGTTGGCCCATAGAGTCAAAACATCTGCTGAATAAATAATTGACTTGTTGGCTGACACAACAGTATGAGCGGAGGCGATTGACCAGCTGTGCCTGGACTAGTTAGGGGTATTTTAGTAGAAGTCAGTAGAGATTACTGTCTGAAACAAGTAAGCTTCAAGCCTCGGGTAATTAAAAAAACAACAAAACCTAGCTCTAGCAGGCACTTAAATGACAGATATTATGATGAGAGCAACATTTTCTTGAAGGTTTGTTTTTTATCATAACATTTTCCCCAAGAGCAGAGATTATTGAAGTGTGTGCTGTGCTTCATCGCTTCAGTCACGTCCGACTCTTTGCGACCCCATGGACTGCAGCCCGCCAGGCTCCTCTGTCCATGGGATTTCCCAGGCAAGAACACTGGGGTGGGTTGCCATGCCCTCCTCCAGGGGATCTGGGTGACTCAGGGACTTGAACCTGCATCTTCTGTGTTTCTTGCATGGCAGGTAGTTTCTTCACCTGCTGAAGCCCAGGGAACACTCACACCACCTAGTTAAGGATATGGTCAATATTCATAGCTCTTCAGCTACACAATTTCTCTGATGCTCTTCCTCTGTCCTGTCACCCACTTTAGGACGCAGGTTTCCTAACGATACCAACACTAAATGAAGGCACGCTAACTATTAGTTGAAAGTTTCTCAGGGCTTAGAAAAGCTAGGCATGGGCAGGGAGAAGAAAGGGTGTTAAACTACTGCAACTCACAAATGTTCTGAGTAAAACTCAATTTCCATGCGATAAATCAATCACCCCAAGGAATAACAAATGTTCAAGGTCAGAGGGAGAAGGTAGATTAGTCAAAAGGAATCCAAAAATGTGGAGGGGTTAAGGTTTGCAGCCCCTGTGTTTGGAGGTAAGGCATGGACTCTAAGTGGCATTATCTCATCCTCATCCACATCCCCCACCTGTGTCCACAGGCGCATCCTTACCTGCATAATCCTTTCCACATCCAAGTCTACTTCCGGGTCCCCATCCACGCCTGCCACATCCACATCCACAGCCTCAGCCCATCTGCATCCCCACATCGTGGGGATAAAGATGCAGCCACTGCTCTGGGTCATCCAACGGCATGTGTACTCTGGGAAGTCAACAGTCAGACTGTCAAGCGAGCTTGCAGTGTCTCGTCGCCAGGAGGTCTTCTAATTAGCCCCCGAGAGAATCTGGTGGTTCCTGTTTCATAATTTGACTAGGCCTGCAAGATTAAGACAGCTTTCATTTTGTCACCACAAATAACTAACCTCCGTCACGTCAGGTGACCGGTTGGATATCATACCAGTGTCGGATTTGGCAAAGTTGAAACGACTGAAAGCAAGTGTGAACTCTCAAAAGATCTCCTCTAGTCCATTGGCGCCTTCCCTCCTGTCCAGCCTTTAATTGGTCCTATTCACTCCATCACCTTCGTCATTCCCTGGTTCTAATCCTGGTCCTTGAACAGGGCTGTAACTGCTTTAGAAGTCACCAGAGTACTTTTGAGACATACACTTTCTTTTCCTTCCTACAGAGTATTAACCACCACAAGCATCATATTAGCAATTAGCTGAAAGTGTTACCTCGTTAGTCTCTAAAAGTTATTATTTTCCCCAAACACTTTTTATTATTCAAACTTTAGTGACCCCATGAAAGATTCGACCCATTGCTTTATTACTGCATCTGTATGGAATCTACTCAACAAACAGAATTCAGTGTTTTTGTCATCAAAATTAAAATCAATAATGGGGCTGACATTTTTCCTATTCCTAATTATTATTATCTTGGTGAATCTCTTTCTTCTTGGTAAATTAATAATTATTAGCCAAACTAAATCCTTTTTGGGGAAGAGAAGTAATTATTTAAAAAGAACTTAATTTCTGTCCTTCTACATAAGACTTGATAAACATCCGTAAATGATTTGCTGTTGACTCCAGTTTGTCCAAGCTTCTATATCTCAAGAGACATCTCACCAGACATTTATTCCTTCTGCCAACATGTATTGGGAATCTATAGTGTAAGGCCTTGTGTTGGTATCCTGGAGCTAGAGATCTGTCCATATAGTGATATATTCTGAAAACTCTTGTGTGGTACAGAATTTTCCATTGATAGAGGCATAAGCGCCAGAAAGAGTGTTCCCATTGGTGGAATTATTCCACATACTTGAGGTGAGAATTTGTATGGGGTGGCGGGGAGTTGGGGGGAAGGTTCAAATTGCCTCTGCCCCCTGACTGGCTGGTCAAGGTTGTAGTTCACCCTGGGCACCTCCATAGCCCTGCCTTCTTTCTCAAGTCAACTGCAGATGCCCCAGGCCTCAGAGGGGGCTGATGGGGGAGCCGCTTTGCCTCAGGGTGGGATGCTGGCTGCACCCTGAGCCCACGAGGGAACCGAGGAATCCTTTCCCTGCCAGGCTCAAAAGTTTGTCTGTTTACCAGAGAAGAATTTGTGTGCACTGAGGTAAACCTTAACCAAGGAATTTCCCCCCTTTATATTCGTGGGCAGTTGTAGGAAGTGCTGAAGAGCGTCACCACGTCCCGGACTATGCGCTCCACGAACGCTGTGGCTTGTCCCCAGGGAGAAGGGCGCAGGCGCCCTGTGGTCAGGGCCGCCCAATTAGGGCTCTTGGAGCTCAGTTTTCTCCTTCACAGGATATAGTTTTCCCTCGATGTTTCCACAAATATGTGAAAAATGTTGGCAGAGCAAGGAACACTCAAATATTTATCTTGTATTTAACAATGTTGAGAGTTACTTGAGTGTTTTTGTTATTTTCATTTGAAGGCTGAGGTCTGTTATTTCATGTGAATGAAAGATAAAAAATCTTTCTGTGGTTTAACGGATAGGATATTTTCAGACTGAAGAAGTTAAAAGAAAAACAAATAGCAAACTTCAATATGGACATTCTTGACCCTCTGCTTGTTTCTCTACTTAAAATTCATACTAAAAATTTTTTTAAAGTTGTGAATTCCTTGGTACACAGGGCACCAAAAAGTCTGTCCGGGCTTGGAAAACCAAAATGAGAGACCCCAGCAGACATCTTACATGATTTCTTGTGCTGCTGTGTGGTATGTTATTTTATGTTGACAGAAGAACAGTGTTTTTATCTTGCGACATCTTCTCATCATTAGAGAAATATTTTCCTATTTTATTTCCCATAACTATAGGTTCCCATTATGCTCTGTAATGTGGTTAGAGGATCAATGCTTATTCGATGGGAGACTGAGCCTCAGTGAAGTCAGGAATGAAGGAGGGAGTGGCTGACAGGATTTGTTTTCTAAATCAGTTTAGTATATCAGATTCCTTAAAGCTGAAATAATTGCAAGAAAAAATAAAAACAAATTTGCAAAGTCAATGCTAAGCAATAACTGATTAGTCAAGGGAAAACTCAGGCTGTCTGCATCACCTGGCCCCCAGGGAGAGGGGAGATTTGACTTAGTGTCAGAAGTTCCAGTGCCAAGAGAATTGCCCCTTGGCAGGAGGGAGCAGGGGTCCAGATTCATGTCTGGGAGGACCCAAATGGCAGAGGGTGCCATGCAGATCCCGTCTCTGATTCCAGCCTTCCCTGTAGGCTGTGTGTGAAGCTGGGATTACCTGGGAGGGAGGTGTGCAGCACTGTCCTTGAGCGAGGCTTGGGAGCTGTGTACTCTTTCTTTGTAAGTCAGGTTCCGTAGACAGTCCTCACCAACTTCCACATCTTTCCTAGGGTTTACAGGAAGACTGGGAATAGAATTAAGGAGTGTGCACAAACCTCCAAGTTCAGCAGCTCAGTTTTCCCATACAGCAGAAGAAGTGGGAAACTCAAGGAGCTTCAGAGTCATCCAGTTGCGAAGGAGAAGGGGTGAGAACTCCAGTCTATTGATTCCCTTCACACAATGCTAAAAACCACCCTACTCTGTTTTGTTTTTAGCCAAGATCACCTGCAGAGTCAAATGCCCTGCTGAATTCCATCTGTTTTCTGCAGAAAGATCAATGGGCAAACAACGTTTTCGTCATTTGACTCGGGGACGAAGTCACTGACCTTGGAATGTTGGTCCTAGGTGGTCCACCTCCTGCATAGGAGGTTGGCACCCTTAACCTGGGCAGCCACAGTGCCTATGAGCTGCAAACATGTTTCTGCCAAATGGGACAGGAAGGGGTGAGAACAGAACCCAGGGCCACCCTCCGTGTGTAACAAGATCCAGGTTTTGAAGGACTGTGGACAGCTTCAGTCATGAAGCCCAAGACCTGTGAGACTCTTGGTGTAACTAGAAGGTAATTGGTCCCTGCACAGAACTCCTCCCTCCCCTCCCACCACATGTATATGTGCATGTACACACACACACACACACACACACACACACACACACTTCTGAAAGGCAAGTGTCTGGGTGGGCTGAGTGCCTGCTGAAGTGGGTGAGGAGAGAGGTCTTAGCACAAATCCCTCACTGCCTTGGCATTCACAGACCTGGTTTTCCTGCAAAGATTCCAGCCCATTCTGCTGGGGCAACCCGATGATGATCTTATGGCTTCAAATGCAGGCTGATATGCCTGCCTGGGCAGATAGCAATTTGATTTTGGACTTGCTTTGCCATTACATATAAAGAAAGTCAAAGTGAAGTCGCTCAGTTGTGTCCCACTCTTTGCAACCCCATGGACTGTAGCCTGCCAGGCTCCGCTGTCCATGGAATTTTCCAGGCAAGAGTACTGGAGTGGGTTGCCATTTCCTTCTCCAGGGGATCTTCCTCGCCCAGGGATCGAACCCGGGTCTTCTGCATTGCAGGCAGACGCTTTACCATCTGAGCCACCAGGGAAGCCCTATTCCATATAAAAGGAAGGTTATTGTTTGGTCTTCTCCTTATCGAGTAGTTGGAGAAAGACACAGGAAGCAGTAGGGTCCATCATCACACACATCTGGTTCTAGAGGCAGTAGGTCCCTGCTCACTGGGATGCCCCATCCTGGAGCCTACCAGGTCCTGCTTGAACAGCCAAGACTTTTGTAACAGGCTTTTGTGGTTTAGTTTCCCTCCTGCCAAACACTGGTAATGAAAGTGAAACCGAAAGTCTCTCAGTTGTGTCCGACTCTGTGACTCCACGGAGTATACAGTCCATGGATTTCTCCAAGCCAGAATACTGGAGTGAGTTGCCATGCCCCCCTCCAGGGGATCTTCCCAACTCAGGGATCGAACCCAGGTCTCCCGCACTGCAGGTGGATTCTTTACCAACTGAGCTACCAGGGAAGCCCAAACACTGATAATGGGACACATTTGTTTTCTGATTAGCCACAGAATTTTGTGTTTCTCCACCTTTCATGCAATCATCTAGTCCACAAATATTTTTTCAGTACTTGCAAAAATACCAGCGTTGTGCTAGGTGGGGGGATGGTCTTTAACTCCCAGGGCCAGAGGGGGATGGAGGAGACACAGGGATGACCCTCGGGGCCAAGTTTCCCAGCAGGTGGGGGGCACCTTGCCTTCAGGTGAGCAGCCTTTATGACCAAACAATGAGGCATTAAGTTACACCGAGTCACACAGGAAGAAGGTTACCTCTGGGTCCTTTCTCTCTGGATCCTCAGTGACAAAGAGAAAATCTATTGTCTGTTTATTCCTGAAAATGGATTTTTGCAGCATCTCACTGTAATTTTAGGAACACTGCTTCATTTTCGTTTGCAGCTAGAGATTTATTTGAAAAGGTGATCTGGATTACCCATGCGTCATAGTGATATAAAGGGCTTTTATTTTTGAAATAAATATGAGTGAAAAAAATATGAGTCCCTTTCTTAAAAGAATACTAGAAAATAGAAGCTGAGTTAGGCACAGACGTGGAAAGCTATGGGGGAGGTAAGGTGTTGGATGTTGTTGGGTTTTAGGATGGGATGAACCACTTTGGATGTGAGAGTTGGACTATAAAGAAAGCTGAGCCCCGAAGAATTGATGCTTTTGAACTGTGGTGTTGGAGAAGACTCTTGAGATCCCTTGGACTGCAAGGAGATCCAACCAGTCCATCCTAAAGGAAGTCAGTCCTGGGTGTTCATTGAAAGGACTGATGCTGAAGCTGAAACTCCAATACTTTGGCCACCTGATGCAAAGAGCTGACTCATTGGAAAAGACCCTGCTGCTGGGAAAGATTGAGGGCGGGAGGAGAAGGGGACGACAGAGGATGAGATGGTTGGATGGCATCGTTGACTCAATGGGCATGAGTTTGAGTAAACTCCGGGAGTTGGTGATGAACAGGGAGGCTTGGCGTGCTGCAGTCCATGGGGTCGCAAAGAGTCGGACACGACTGAGCGACTGAACTGAACTGAAGTGAACCACCTGGTTAAGGCGATCTGCCCAGAGGAGGCGCCATTCAAACACGGCCCCGGAGGAGAGCAGGAGTGCTGGGGAAGCGTGGAGGCGGGGCAGAAAGGTGGGGCAGCAGGCCCCAAGCCAGACATCAGGGCTGAGGGCTGCAAGCATGGTTTGAAGACGTGGTTGAGGCTTGGGGTTCTGGAGGGCACCGGCTAGTGGGGAGTTGAGTGGGAGGCGTGGGTGCGGGGGGAAGCATGCTGACCAGGGGTCCATGGAAGTGTCTCAAGCAAGGGCCACCCTGAAAGCTACTCTGCCTTTGCTGCTGCTCCTGGTGGTTGGGGGTTCTCCTTCTCTGGAAGATTCCCTGGGCTCACAATTCCATCTGGCTGGCACATCCCGTGGCTTCCTTTGTCTCCCTGGAGGGAAGCAGAGGAGGGGAGTGGGGTGACTGACAGGTGAGCCCGGAATCTTAGCACACACACATCTTTACGATCCCAAGTAAGAAATCGAAATGTGACCATTTCCATTCCCAGGCCTTCTCATGGGAGTTTGACCTGGACTCAGTGCACGTTTCTAGAGCTGCTGAGATGCTTCACGGCTGTGCTTGGGCTGTGAGTGAACGCACTCCTTGTACCAGTCAGCTTCGGGCGCCAGATCTAGACACCTGCAGGCTTAAACAACAGAGATTTATTCTCCCACAATTTTGGAGGCTGGAAACCTCAGGTCAGGGCCTGCCAGGGCTTGGATTCTGGTGAGGACTCCCCCCTCGGCTTGCAGACAGCCTCCTTCTCGCTGTGCCCCTGTGCAGAGAGGCCTTTTAGGCACAATCTACTTTCCTCTTTTGAAATGCTCATGATCCACTATGCCAAAGTATTTGCCAGAACACTGACCATGGCATCTGCCAGGTTCCCCGCACCCCTCCACCCCCAGCTGAGTGTCTGCTCTGAGCCTCCCCCTGGGAACACGGCTTTCTCTGTCCAATCTGCTTTAGGCTACAGTCTCGGAATGAGTGGTAATTCTGGGTTCACCGAGTTTTGCTTCTTAAGTTGGAAGTGGGCTGAGTGGCCTCAGAAAGTCCCAGGTAAGTGTGGAGGATTTCCTTCAGTTATATGCAAATACAAAAATGTCTTTACTGAGACTAAAGTCCTTGCTGGTTTCAGAATTGGCTAGAGCAGTTTGGTTAAGTATGAAATGTATGGAGAAGTGGAATAAAATGACACAGGGGTGGTTGGAATGTGTTCTCATGAATTTAGAGATAGACAAAATTCTGTAGAACCAGAGTCAACATTACACAGAATTTGAGCAGACATATCAGTCAAAATTCCAATAATGCCAATAACAGTAACAGATCTGTTGAGGTGTTACACATTGGAATGCTTTATATGCATTAGCAAAATATATATCTTCTGGTACGTATTTCACTGTGTATGTGGGATTTGCATTTTAGAAAACTGAAAGGAAACCATTGGACATTAAAGGGAATAATACATTTTCATCACATAAAGTAAATGATTAGAATAGAAAGTCCTTACCACTCACCAGGATTATCCAAAAGATTGGAATTCGCAGAAGGCTCCTGTTTTCAAGTGTTCCTGACAGTATACATCATTGGTAAACATTTGCTGTGACGATGCAGGGCAGTGAACTGGTGGACCATCCACACAAGCTCTGCAGGGTTTTCCTGATAGACCTCACCCAGCAAGACCTCACTCTGTGCACGTTGTTGTGACCGGAAGAGAACAGTTTGTCCATCTGTGCTTGGCATGGAGTCCAAGTCTCCACACGTCACCAGGGAACCTGATGTGACCTGTTGCATCCAGAGGGGTGGTACCTAAGCCTCTGTGCGTTCTCTGTGCTAATCTGGAGATCGCGAAACCGGCATTGTCATCATGACTTTTGGCCAGGGCTTCCCTTGTGATTCAGAGGTGAAACACGCAGGCTTTCTGCCATCTAGCAAGACCCCAGGCTCCTTGTTTAAGAATACATGTAAATCCATGGCTAATTCATTTCAATGTATGACAAAAACTACTGTAATGATGTAAAGTAATTAGCCTCCAACTAATAAAAATAAATGGAAAAAAAAAAAAAAAAAAAAAAAAGAAAAAAAAAAGAAAAAGCTAGTAAAAAAAAAAAAAAAAAAAAAAAAAGGCAAAAGCCGTTTTAAAAAGTGTGTGACTAGAGTCCTGAGTGTGGTGAGCTGAACTGGTAGAAAATAACATTCAGCTCAGTGTTTTGGCAAGGATTGGGATAGTGAGACAGACACGTTTGTTTACCTTCCCAGCTAGAAAAGACACATGTAGGTCGGCAGCCAAGAAGAGGAGGGTAGAAATGGGGAATAGGGAACAGGACTTGGCTCTGCTTATATTGATTTTGGCAAAAACGCCACGTGAAAAATTATGCCTCAGATAAAAATAAATTATAATCTACAAGTATTTGAATGAGAAGGGTTCCCTGTGAAAACTTAATAAATGAATGCTAATTCAGTTACCAATTTGTTGCCATGAAACATAACCATTCGTGTTATTCCGTGGAGCTTGTTTTGGAAAAGATTGCATAACCCATGAA